GGAGGAGGAGAGCTCCCCACCCAGCGCTGGAAAAAGGTAAGTTTTACCCCCTTTCCCCTTTCCAGAGCCGGGCGGGAGGGGGTCCCTGAGGGTGGGGGCACCCTCAGGGCACTATAGTGCCAGGAAAACGAGTATGTTTTCCTGGCACTATAGTGGTCCTTAAAAACAGAGTACAAAGAGTTGTCATTAATGGTAAATTTCTTCGTTGACAGAGGTGGTGCACTGGGACTCTCTATTTAACATGTTTATAAATGATCTTGAAGACCGCGATTGAAAGTCATGTTTCAGTGTTTGCAGATGACACCAAACTTTGTAAAACAATACAATGTGAGCAAGATATTACTTTGCTGCAGAGGGACTTAGATAGACTGGGGACTGGGCACTCAAATGGCAGATGAAATTTAATGTTGAAAAATGCAAAGTTATGCACTTCGGCGTAAAGAATACACAAGCAACGTATACCCTTAATGGAAGCTAATTAGGGATAACAACACATGAAAAGGACTTGGGAATTGTTATAGACAACAAACTATGCAACAATGTGCAATGTCAATCAGCAGTGGCCAAGGCCAGTAAGGTATTGTCATGCATGAAAAAGGGCATTCATTCTCGGGACAAGAATATAATTTTGCCTCTTTATAAATCACTGGTAAGCAGGGGCGGACTGACCACTCGGGCACTTCGGTCATGGACCGAGGGCCCGAGGCAGTCAGGGGCCCGGCAGCACAGCCATGCTCCAGCTGGAGAGATCAAAGATCTCTCCAACTGGAACAGCAAAATTAAAAAAAATAAAACTATTTAATTTATAGGTTGTGGGGCCCCTGATGCAGCTTGGGGCCCCACAACCTACCGCCCTGTAAGCCCCCCCCCCCATGAGACCTGGCAGCTTCTCCAGCTCTCCCTCTCTGCCAGGTCTCCTTCTCCCTGTCCCGCGGTGCTCTGTGTGATGGGAGAGGCGGGGCCAGGAAGTGACATCACTTCCTTTACTCGCCTCTCACACACAGAGCCCAGCGAGGGGAAGGAGCAGCAGCCAGGGAGATCAGAGTAAGCACAGGTAGGCTCTAATCACCCCCCACACTGTCACTAGTCACCCCCCCTGTCCCTAGTCACCCCCACTGTTACTAGTCACCCCCCTGTCACTAGTCACCCCCCCACTGTTACTAGTCACCCCCCCACCGTCACTAGTCACCCCCCTGTCACTAGTCACCCCCGCACTGTTACTAGTCACCTCCCTGTCACTAGTCACCCCCCACTGTTACTAGTCACCCCCGTCACTAGTCACCCCCCCACTGTTACTAGTCACCCCCCCACCGTCACTAGTCACCCCCCTGTCACTAGTCACCCCCCCACTGTCACTAGTCACCCCTCCTCACTGTCACTAGTCACCCCCCTCCTCACTGTCACTAGTCACCCCCCTCCTCTGTCACTAGTCACCCCCCGTCCCTAGTCACCCCCCCCCACAGTCACTAGTCATCACCTCCCTCACTCTGTCACTAGTCATCCCCTCACTCTGCCACTAGTCACCCCTTCCCTCACTCTGTCACCTGTCACCCCCTCACTCTAGTGACAGAGAGAGGGAGGGTGTGACTAGTGACAGAGAGAGGGAGGTGGTGACTAGTGACAGAGGGAGGGAAGGGGTGACTAGTGGCAGAGTGAGGGAAGGGAGGGGTGACTAGTGACAGAGTAAGGGGATGACTAGTGACAGAGTGAGGGAGGGGGTGACACAGTGATGGAGGGAGGTGGTGATTAGTGACAGAGTGAGGGAGGTGGTGACTGTCACTAGTCACCACCTCCCTCACTCTGTCCCTAGTCACCCCTCCCTCTGTCACTAGTCACCCCTTCCCTGCCTAACTGTCACTAGTCACACCCTCCCTCTCTCTGTCACTAGAGTGATGGGGTGACTAGTGGCAGAGTGAGGGAAGGAAGGCGTGACTAGTGACAGAGTGAGGGAGGTGGTGACTGTCACTAGTCACCAGCTCCCTTACTCTGTCACTAGTCATCACCTCCCTCTGTCACTACTCCCTCCCTCCTTCTATCACTAGTCACCCCCTCTGTCCCTCACTCTGTCACCAGTCATCCCCTCCCTCTGTCACTAGTCACCCCCTCACTCTAGTGACAGAGAGAGGGAGGGTGTGACTAGTGACAGAGAGAGGGAGGGTGTGACTAGTGACAGAGGGAGTGGGTCACTAGTGACAGAGGGAGTGGGTCACTAGTGACAGTAAGGAAGGGGATGACTAGTGACAGAGTGAGTGACTAGTGACAGAGTGAGGGAGGGAGTGGGTGACTAGTGACAGAGTGAGGAAGGGGGTGACACAATGACAGAGTGATGGAGGGGGTGACTAGTGACAGAGTGAAGGAGGTGGTAACTGTCACTAGTCACCCCATCACTCTATCACCTGTCACCCCGTCACTAGTCACCCCCTCACTCTAGTGACAGAGAGAGGGAGGGTGTGACTAGTGACAGAGTGAGGGAGGGAAGTGGTGACTAGTGAGAGTGAGGGAGGTGGTGATTAGTGACAGAGGGAGGAATGGGGTGACTATCACTGTGTCACCCCCTTCCTCACTCTGTCACTAGTCACCCTCTCCCTCCCTCACTCGGTCACTATTCACCCCCTCTCTCACTCTGTCACCAGTCATTCCCTCACTCTGTCACCAGTCATCTCTTCCTTCCCTCACTCTGCCACTATTCATCCCTTCCCTCACTCTGTCACCAGTCATCCCCTCACTCTGTCACTGTGAAGGAAGGAAGGGGTGACTGGTGACAGAGTGAGGGAATGACTGGTGACAGAGTGAGAGAGGGGGTGACTAGTGACAGAGTGAGGAAGGGGGTGACAGTGATAGTCACCCCATTCCTCCCTCTGTCACTAATCACCACCTCCCTCACTCTCACTAGTCACCCCTTCCCTCCCTCACTCTGTCACTAGTCACACCCTCCCTCTCTCTGTCACTAGAGTGAGGGGGTGACTAGTGACAGAGTGAGGGGGTGACAGGTGATAGAGTGAGGGAAGGGGTGACTAGTGGCAGAGTGAGGGAAGGGAGGGGTGACTAGTGACAGAGTGAGGGAGGTGGTGACTGTCACTAGTCACCCCATCCATCTCTCTGTCACTAGTCACTCCCTCCCTAACTCTGTCACTGTGTCACCCGCTCCCTCACTCTGTCACTAGTCACTCCCTCCCTAACTCTGTCACTGTGAAGGAAGGAAGGGGTGACTGGTGATAGTTAGGGAGGGAGTGACTAGTGACAGAGTGAGGGAGCGGGTGACACAGTGACAGAGAGAGGGATGGGGTGACTAGTGACAGTCACCCCCTCCCTCTGTCACTAGTCACTCCCTCCCTCTGTTACTAGTCACTCCCTCACTCTGTCACCAGTCATCCCCTCACTCTGTCACCAGTCACCCCTTCCCTCCCTCACTCTGCCACTAGTCATTTTTTCCCTCCCTCACTCTGCCACTAGTCACCCATTCCCTAACTCTGTCACTAGTCACCCCCTCTCCCTCCCTATGTCACTAGTCACCCCCACTCACTGTGTCTCCCCCTCACTCTGCCACCACTCAACCCCTCCCTCCCTCCCTCACTCTGACACCAGGTACCCCCTCACTCTGCCACCTGTCACAACCTCCCACACTCTTCCACCTGTCACCTTCTCCCTCACACACTGTCACCTGTCACATATGTATTCACACAGACACTATATACAAAAAAAGCACATGTAGTAATCCCGACATGCACAAGTGCATTCACACAGACTCAAATACAAACATGCATTGATACACAGGTCTTCACAATATACACATCCAAAGGAATGCTGTATTATGAGTTATATTTAACATTTATTTAATGCACATATATTTGGCCTTCAAAGGGCCTGGGATCCAATTTTGCCCGGGGGCCCCAAAGGCTCTCAGTCCGCCCCTGCATACATCCAAGCAATCAAACACCAACACAACAGACAAACTCACCCCTGCAATCAAACACAAACATTACATACAAACACACCCATGCATTTAACTCCACGATGAAATACAAACACACCCCTTCATTCAAACAGAAATTCTATACACAAATGTGCACCCACATTTAAAAGCCAACACTACATACAAACACACCGCTGCAATCAAACGCAAATATTATAGACACACACCACTGTATTAAAACATTAAAATTATATACAAACCCTTTCATTCAAACACAAACACTACACCACTGCATTCAAATGACAACAGTACATACAAATACACCCCTATATACATGAACATACTATATACAAGCACATGCTTTCATTCAATTGCACAAACACTGCTCACAAATATAACCCTGCAAGGATAAGCAAATTGTAGATCCCTAGCTGGCATAGCATCATGAGAATTGTACAACAGATGGGAATCTACCTTTTGACCACTCTTTCTCTAGAGGAAGGCCAAAAAGAATGTATTGCTCCAGGGCCCTCTCTACATTAGTTCTGCACTGGCGTCAGCATTTTGTCTTTTTGTATTGTCAATGTTGATGCACATGTCTCATAGATGCTTACCTTGTACATTCCAATTGTTTCAGTTAAATGTCTGAATAAACATGTTGTTTATAAAAACAGTAAGTGTGTTTAACCCCTTAAGGACGGAGCCAAATGTACACGTTGTGAACAAAACAAAATGTAAACAAAACCTGGCATTTGCGCTACATGTCTGTCCAACCGTAATACACCTCTTTCATAGTAAATGCACCCACCCTTATTATATATCATTTTATTCAGGGAAAACAGGGCTTTCATTTAATATCAAATATTTAGCTATGAAACATAATTTAATATGAAAAAAATGGGAGAAAATACGATTTTATTGGATTTTTTTAGTTCTACATGACAATTAAACGGTCAGTGTCATAATACTGTTTGCTTTTACTGCAATAAAATACACATATTTGTATTCAGCAAAGTCTCACGTGTAAAACAGTACCCCCTATGTACAGGTTTTATGGCGTTTTGGGAAGTTACAGGGTCAAATATAGCACGTTACATTTGAAATTGAAATTCGCCAGATTGGTTACGTTGCCTTTGGGACTTTATAGTAGCCCAGGAAAGAAATTTACACTATAATGGCATACCATTTGCAATAGTAGACAACCCAAGGTATTGCAAATGGGGTATGTCCAGTCTTTTTAGTAGCCATTTGGTCACAAACACTGGCCAAAGTTAGTTAGTATTTGTTTGTGTGTGAAAAAATGCAAAAACGCCAATTTTGGCCAAAAGTTTGTGACTAAGTGGCTACTAAAAAGACTGGACATACCCCCTGTTTGTAATACCTAGTTGTCTACTATTGCAAATGGTATGCCATCATAGTACTTTTCACTCTTGGCTACCATAGGTCTCAAATGCAACGTAGAATCTCAATCTACAATTTTAATGTGAAAATGAAACGCTGTAAGCCTTATTTGACGCTGTGGTCTTTTGAGTAACAGAATAGCAGATAGTATTGAAGAAGGGAGACTTCACTGAACACAAATATTTGTGTTTCAAAACAGTAAAAGTATCATAGCAATAATATTGTCCGTTTAATGCTGTTTGTGCGTGAAAAATGCAAAAAACGTCACTTTTACTGGCGATATCATCGTTGTAATACATTTTACTGTTTTGAAACACTAATATTTGTGTTCAGCGAAGTCTCCCGAGTAGAACAGTACCCCCCATGTACAGGTTTTATGGTGTCTCGAAAAGTTATAGGGTTAAATATAGTGCTAGCAAATTAAATTCCCTTTACTTTCGGCATGGGTTGTCATGCAGGTCCTGCTAATTGTAATTAATTAAGATACCTAATTATGTAAAATATTACATAAATATATATGTAGAATCAATATATGTATATATATACGTATGTGTATATATATGTATATATCTATATAATTTTTTTAAAATATTTTTATTTATATATAGGTATATATATATGATATATACGTATATATTTATGTGTATAAATATATATATTATTTCGTTCTATGTGTATTTTGATATATATATATATATTAATTTCACAATACAGTTAGAACGAAATAACACACATCTATATATTTTTTAATTATTTATTTTTAATTATTTTTGTAATTTTATTTTTTAACGTATTTACATTTTAATTTTTATTATAATATATATAAATATATATATAACAATAATTATATATATATTTAATCAGTATCAGTGTACGTGTAATTTGATATTAATATATATATATAATTATATATATATTAATAGAAAAATACACCTAGACGGTGTACATGTGTGTATGTATATGTGTATATATATACTTTGATCATATATATATAATATATATATATGATCTAAGTATATATAATTTTTTTTTTTACACCATTAACTTATTTTACTTTTATTTTCAGCCAGCAGGGGGACCCCCTGTAATTACAGGCAGCCCCCCTGCTGGCAATGCTGCAGCCAGCTATCCCCGGCCATGTGATTGTGGGGTCCTCACAAGGACCCCACTCTCACACGGCCGGGGGGCTTCGACGAGGACGGTTGTGCCGCGGGGGGCTCCCTGGGAGTCCCCCCCACCGCGATCGCCGGCGTGGGACCGCCGGCGACCGGGTAAGTACAGAAAGACCGGAGGGCGTACTATTACGCCCGGCGGTGTTTAGAGCCGCCTATTAGAGGACGTAATAGTACGCCCTCCGGTCTTAAGGGGTTAATAATCCCATGCAAAAATACACACTTCCCTCTTCTTTTTGACACTTTCTACTTCTAGAAGTACAGAGCCACAATTCAGGGTGAAGAATAAGCTATATTTAACTATGGTCCAGGAGACAAAACAAAGATACAATGTTTTGGCCGTGAGGCCTTAATTATGTATAATTACCTGGTTGGATATCTATTTCTAAATACAAACCACCTAAAATAAATGAATAAATAAACATGTCAGTTATTCTTATTTTACCTTAATTTCAAATCACATATTCCTGCAATTATTTTACTTAATTTCTAATTAAAAAGAACACTCTAGGGTCAGAAACACAAACGTGTATTTTTGACTCCATAGTGTTAAAAACACTATCTTGCCCCCCTGCCCTCCACCTTTGCCCTCCTAAATATAGTAAAATATCTTACATTTATTCCAGTCTGCTGGTGCTTGCTCTACCCTGGTCTTCCTGCTTGGCAAACATCATTGGAAGTGATGATCACAGCCAATTACAATGCTTTCCCACAGGAAAGCATTGGATTGGCTGAGAGATTCAATTCAAATTATGTCAGAGGGGAGAACAGACAACAGCTCAATTAGCCTGCCCTTCAGTGTGTCCCCTCTCAGAACTCAAGCTGGTTTTAGCTCATATAGTGCCATTACAGAGAAAACAAGTCTGAAGCATATCAGACTGGTCCCACCCGTACTGGCAGTCCATATCCAAAATGTCAGCAAGTTCCCTCTGCACGAGAGATACAGCAACCCCAGATGATCATTTCAACCTTGTAAGGTATCATCAGTGAGGTGTAGCCAATATCCTTCCAGGCACCGTAAGCAAGAGGTCCACGTGTGGCTTGCCCTTTAAACATAAGGAGAGAAAAACAAGTAGCAAGAGAGGTGAGAATGGACAACAGCTCAATTAGCTGGTCCTTCCTGATTCTACTCACCAATTATACTCACCAGAACAACTACATTAAAGGATCACTATAGGGTCAGGAACACAAACATGTATTCCTGACCCTATAGTGTTAACACCACCACCTAGCCCCCCTGGGCCCCTCATGTCTCCATAAATATAGTATAAATCTTACTGTATTCAAGCAAGAAGCTGTAACTCTGCATGCTGTTAGACTCAGAAAAACAAGCAGTCTGCTGACATGTGGTAGCCTGATCCAATCACAGTGCTTCCCCATAGGATTGGCTGATACTGACAAAGAGGCAGATCAGGGGCAGAGCCAGCATGATTCAAACACAGCCCTGGCCAATCAGCATCTCCTCATAGAGATAAATTGAATCAATGAATCTCTATGAGGAAAGTTCAGTGTCTGCATGCAGAGGGAGGAGATACTGAATCACAGGATGCTGTGCACAGTGCTGCCCTGTGCTCTGCTGAGAGCAGATCTAAGTGGATGGAGGCATATTATAGGTGACTATAATACTTCCAGAATATAATAAAAAAGATTTTAATAACTTACATATAAGTATCAAACAATTTGCATGTCACCATAGGGGTGTCCTACACGTTTCGTCCTGTAATTGGACTTCCTCAGGGACTTGGTGAAACAATAACAATAACATATAACATATGAGTCACATATGCCAATCTACTGATGGAAGTGTGAGGAGGAAAAAATATAGTGGATACTGAAAGAAAAGATACCATTCAAGGCTGTTTTTACATCTGAAAATTTGTGAGTGACCAATTGTGATTGCACATTGCCACTAACTCCCACACAGTTAAACGCTATGTTTTTTTATTTAAGCT